AGCAGAATGTGGAAGTTATGAAAGGATGCCAGCACACAAAGAAAGCTTTTTAAAAGATCGAAGCAAGTCACTCTCAGTGTGAACTGTCTAGGCACAGCTTGGAGGAGAGCGCCTGCACACCTGATGTAGAAGGAAGGTGCAGACTATAAAACTTATATAAAAAAATATGCGGCTATAACCCAACCCAAAGCATCGCATACCTCCTGCAGGGAAACCCCTGAGAGAGAGGGCCTTAGAAGACGCCATGCTAAAATTGTTATTTCTTAAAGTCCCTGTAAAGTCAAAAATAAGTATGTGTTCTGAGTTTGTCACACCACAGAAAAATGTGTGCCACCCAGCCAAATTTGAATGATAAAAAAAGCCGGGAAGTACATAAAATAAGCTATCAAAATCTTGAAAAAATGAGCAGTTATCTCTGTTCTCAAACGCTGGGGGCGTGTCCGCTGGCTGCATAGAAACCACGCCCACTCGCGGGAAAGCTAGTGTCGACGGTAATATTAGCTGATACTGCTTTCGGGACGGGAGAATGAACGCTGAGGCGGGAGACAGTCGGTCCGGCCCCGTTCACCAGTAACAGCGGATTATCAGTGAATCCCAGTTGTCTCTGAGGAAAGTTTATAAAACGATCCAGTGTAAAATGATCACTACAGAGGTGGGTGTTGGCTCTTCATCAAGGTTGGCTCTCTAAAAACTTCTTCTTGATGTGATCGTTTTTAGGGAATTTAAATAAAGATACCGATCTGTTTTGTACATGATCACATTCAGGTAGTAGCCTATGCATTTCTGTGTTGAAGGCATCGCTAGCTAGAAAACTGTAGGCTCAGCTGTAGTAACTAATTGTACCGACAGTCACTCGCGATTGAGCGGTGAATGTCCTCGGGGAGTGTTATTGTATGTTAGGGGAGAGATCAGACTCTGTGAGTCATCAAATAGGGGTGTGTCCAGGAGCTCATGGGCTCCAGTGCGTCATCGAGCTCTGTTTTAGCCCCGCCCAAACAATCCGTAAAATTGCAATGGTGAAAAACTGTTTAACGGTCTAACTGCACATTTCAGTACTTCACAGTTCACAGTCTTTGTAATATGTTTTAGCAATACATATGTAACATTTATAATGTGTTTAGAACTTTTTTGTAGAATTGCCTTTACAGGGACTTTAACGTTCTAATAACATTCTTATAACCAAGCAAGAACGTTAATACAATGTCTAAAAAACTGGACGTTTTGAATAACGTTTTTATAACTTAAAGGAGTACTTCACTTTAAATTCGAAAAGAAATTAAGGTTTTTGATGAAAACATTCCAGGATTGTCTATATATAATGGACTTCAATGGGAACCAAACAGTTCAAGGTCCAAATGAGAGTTTCAGTGCAGCTTCAAATGGCTTTAAACGACAACAGACAATGAATAAGGGTCTTATCTAGGACCCTTCGAGTCATGACTCGAAAAAAGATTTGTCATTTTGATGAACGAGTTTGAACAGGAGAGTCACAAACGCTCATCACAGAACAGAGCAAGTCGAGCATTTGTGCTTATAAAACTTAAACTTTTTTTATTTATTTTTGAAATGACCGATCATTTCGCTAGATAAGACCCTTATTAGGGCCCTATGATTTTCACGATAACTAAATCATGGATGGAATCGCGGAATTGGCCAATTAAAGCGGAATCTAGTGTTAACGCGGAATTTCGTGGAATTTTCCATATTTGGTTTGAATTTCTGTTTTTGTGTGGGAGATGAACGTATGTCTGGTGAAAATGCAGACAGGGGGAAGCAAATCTGGGCGACACAAACCCCTCAACCCGTCATTTCAGCTCCAATGATGAAATCAAAACAATGAAAGCATGGCGAAGCGGCTCTCCACGGCTCTGCTTTCGTCGGCTAAAAGTTAAGAAACTCAACGCTATTAGCCGTCAGTGCCGAGCCTAGCAGTTCGCACGTGACTTATGCAGTGTTTCCCACACATAGACTAATTCACTGCCACATACTGCGTTTCAGTTTTTAACAGTATTTAAAACACGCAACGTATTCTTTCAGTTGTATTTCCCCGCTCTCCCTCCATCTCTCTCACTCACGCATCTCTCTCACACACGCACACACACACACACACGATGTGCACACCGCGTCTGTCTATGAGGCGCCGGACTGGACAAAAGCGAAGCGAACTCTGTGAGAGACAGAGTGTGACTTCATTTAAACTTATATAAACTAATATAATTTATATATATATATATATATATATATATATATATATGTGTGTGTGTGTGTGTATGTATGCGTGTGCATTTAATGTGTATATTTAAATAATTTATGTTTATCTGTTTATTTTTTACTTGCACGCAGTGGATATGAGAAGTCTACACACCCAGAACTGCTGGTTTCTGTCACGTAAAAAAATTTAAACGAATTATATTTACATACAATTAAATGATATGAAAACTTTTGTACCTTCAATGTAAAAATAACAATCTATGCAATATCACTGGAAACCAAAGTGACATTTCAGAGAATAAAATATACAAATCAAAACAGACGACTTATTTCCACTGAATGTATATATTCACATAGTTGATACACATTCACCAAACATGTTCATTTGTCTCTGTTATTAGCATCAGTGGGATTCTTTTGTGCTGCTCGACAGATCTGTAAAGCTCTTGCTATCTATAACTCTCTAGACATTTAGACAACATTTGACCTCTCGTCTTTTGTGCTGAATTCAAAGGCAGAATCATAAAGGATGAATAATGCAACAATGGAGATGCTGACTATACTGAATTTATTCTTAAGCTATGTCTGCATTCATTCATTGACTTTAATGGTTTCATCCAGCTGTAAATTTTAAAAAGAAGGAAGTAACAGATTTATCTAATTTAACATTAAAGCTCTGTGATTCTAAAGAAGAAATGGAGCAGCAATCATCAGTATGATGGAGAACATTCTTCTTAAAAGCTCATTTATTTATAAATCAAATCAACCGGTTATTTGACGTATTTGCATGGTGAAAATTATCACTGAAGCAAAAAGTATTAAACCTCATTTAATAGTAAAACACACGCACTGATGTTATTGTTCTTAAGCATATGAACTGCGCAAGTGTAAATTATAATGTATTCGATGTTTAAATACTTTCAGATTTCGACATATTCAAAATATAAGACGAATTGCTATTTAATTACTATAAAAAATGAGGATTTGGCTAATTCTCATTGAGAATTTTAATTAGGGCTGTCAATAGCTTGTTTTCACGTGACGTCACGCCACTGCGTTGCCATGGCGCGAAAAGCAGATGGAGGGCAGATTTTGCGTCGTTTATGGTTGCTCAAATCGATCAAACCTCTAGGAGTTTTTATCGTGTGCCCAAAGTTGTTGTTCATAAGGGGGGAAAATACAAGAAATTGACAGAAAAACACCGGGAAAAATGCCTTGCAAACCTACATCTGCGGTCGGGAGGAGCCGAATGGGAAAATGCCTGTGTGTGTGTGCAGTGATCACTTCGTCAAATGTGAGTTAATACATTATTTATGTGGCTTATAATTACATTATTCAGGTGTTTAACTACACTTATGTGGCTGTTCGTGTAACATACCAGTTTCCGAACTTTGTAAAGTCAAAGTATGTCTTTAAGACGAGTTAGTTGCTGATATCTACAGCCTCGATGGCAGGCAAATCTCTCAATTCAGTTGAAAATCGGTCCTCTTCATAACGTAAGGATCACGTCCAACATATGTTTCGATTTTCTGTTTATATATGTCTCAGTAGTACAGTACGGATTTTCCTCCATCTCGTCCATTACGCTCTTCACTCCTTGCCCTCCATCTGTCCGCGCGTCAACACAATCACGTGACTGCAAACCACCTATTGACCCTTCGCTAAGCCCCGCCCTCCCTAGTTACTGTTGCTACGCCTGTCAAGCTTTGTCAAGCCTGTCGGCTTGCCCATCTATTATATTGTGTGGATGCACCCGGTGTCAGACATTCCCAATGAGATAAGTAGTAATTGAAACTAAAGCTGCCGTCATTCATTCACGTCCCGGTCCCTGACCGCCTTGCCTGCCAATATGGCGGTTTAAACAGAGTAGATCACGTGACGTCCGGAGCTTCAGCATGCTTCAGCATGTTTCCCGCGTTCGAAAGCTTGCCAGACCTCCCGCGCATAGTTACGGTTGCTACGACATGATTGGCCTGTGGCGGTTTTCGGGCATGGCTTAGCGAAGGGTCAATTGAATCATTTATGTTGATTGAAGTGTCTTTGAATGGCAATGTATATGTTTTATTTCTGTATAATTGATCATAAAATGATCATTGATCTTCTCTCTAGCAATCCATTGTACAACCTACACTCATTGGAAATACTTGACTGGCTATATTTCTGCAAAAACTACAATTTGCTGCACTTTTCAGGTGAAATATCCACAAGAGGCGCGATATAATTTATTTATACATTGCAGATGTGTGAAAAAAACATGGGGAAAACCCTTCTGTTGGTCATTTACAAAATGATATTGCTTTGCTTTTCACATTTCATGCCAGTTTTGAAGTGAAATGGCATCTTTGGTTCTCTCTGGAACAATTAAATGTAACTGTGGCAACAGATTTATTTAGTTTATTTTACAAAACGTTTGTTTAGAATGGTTATATACTTAGCAGTGTTTTGGTTGACTTTCAAGTAGTGTTATTTCAAGTAGTGTTATTTTAATATCATTGAGATACTATTAGAGTTTGGTTAAAGCAGCTGGTTATAAAAATGGTTGATACAAACGTCATAATATATTATTTAACAAATCATGCACAGTGATTTGTATTTTTTGGTCACAACAACATAGTATTGAATCTACAGTATGTACGTATCTTGTATGTATAGATATGTTTTTGTAAAAATGTCATTTCCAATGAGCCTAGGTTTCCATTTAGATATATATTGACATTTTTTGTTGGTGTTTATTTGTAAAAGTAAAGATCATTTTTTGAGATGTTAATATGTTTCTTCTGCTCCATTAGGTTTCCTCCAGCTCCCCGTGAGCAGAAGTGTTTCTCGTTCTCCTGATCTGCTCTGTCATGATGTCACGGTACCATCAGCATTTTGAGCGGGATTTCCGTAGCGTGTGGGAGCGGAGGGAGCGTTGCATCACCAACAGCAGCTGCGGCGGCACCGTTAACGGCTGTATCTCCACGTCTGCCTCTTCCGTCCCTAACAGTGGCAACAACCGTCCCGGCCTCCTCCCCCTGCCCGTCATCCCCTCGCTCCTGCCTACCCCGGTCACCGGTACAACCAGCACGTCCAATAGTGAGCTGACCTGCAAGCGATTAGCTCCCACCTGTACGACCTCCTCGACTAAGGTAGGACTGAACACACCTGTGGCCGCTGTCTCATACTGCGTTTACTCACCCTCATGTCATTCCAAACTGATTTCACTTTCTTTTCTTTTTTTGAAACACAATAGAGAAATGTTCTGCTTTCAATGGTAAACACTGCCAAGGACTAAAACTGCCCATGAAAGTGTCCATACCTGATTCTTGCAGGTTTGGATTTGTGGTTAAGTTTGAACTATACTATTATAGTTTTATTTTATTATAGTTTTTACCTTTCTGTTTTCATTAAAATTTTAGGTAAAGTTTTGGTAATTAATTGTGTTGTGTGTTTTTTTTTTTCATTTTTATTAGATTTATATTTTTGATTTATATTTACTTTTTATTCATTTTATTCAGTTTTAGTTTTAGTTAAACATAATTTTAACGAATAGTAATGAGAAATGTTGCCTTGGTAGCTGAAATAAAATAAATAAAAAAAGTTTTGTTTTTATATTTTATTTTATTTTAAGTAATTGCATGGTTTTACTTTTAGTTAACTATAAGAACCTTGCTTTTCGAAATCTATTTAGCTTCCAATCTGACATATTTCTGTGTGTATTAGGAAGGGAAAAGTGTAGGTAAAGGGGAGGCCATATGACCAACTTCTTATTTCACAATGTGAGAAATGTTATTTCACGATAACGATATATATCACATTATAGTTATTTTGTGTTATTTATCTAATTTCTGTTATTTAAAGGTGCTATATGTATTTTTTAGCGGCCTCTATCAGTGATGTTTCAGATTGCAACCAATTTTTACAAGAGTGCTCGTGCTCTTGCTCGTGCTCGAACACAAGAGCGGGCACTCATCATGGTACCGGCCACACTGAGACTTTCAACACACCGGACAAAGCATCACACAACATACTGGAAACTCATGTAAACTCCCATTGCAAAGTTACAATAATAGGATACTTTTATTAGAGTTAATCAAATTATGTTTTTCAGGTTTCAACATTCTTTGTTCAAAATTGTACATCACACTGTAAAAAAATATTGATGGTTTAACTTAAAAAAGTAAGTAACCTGATTGCCTTAATTTTAAGTTCATTGAACTGGAAAAAGTGAGTTAATACAATGAAGGAGAATGATTTAATCATCAGAAACTAAAAATTATATGTTATCTGAACTAAATAAATTATTTAAGTTGATTTGACAAAAGAAAAAATGTTGTGATTACTACACTGTAAAAAAACATTGTTGGTTTAACTTAAAGTAAGTAACCTGGGTTGCCTTAAAATTTTAAGTTGATTGAATTGGGAAAAAACTCAAAATAATAAATTATCTCAAATAAATAAATTATTATAAAGTTGAGTTGACAAAAGAAAATATGTTGTGATAACAAATCTTGAAAATATTTTTTTTACAGTGCATGCAACCATTTTCCAAACTGTGTTATTGTTTTCCTAAATCACTACGGTACACCTATAATAAGTGTTTATTCTGACTATTTTAGACTGGTATGAATCGTACCACTGCGGAGTTCCCAGTATCTGCATGACTCGCCATAGTCATAAACAGAGAGATGTAGCTCCAGCTACAATGTGACTGATGTAGTTTTGTTTATTAAACGCTAGACTGCCAAAAGTTATGGACTGCAGCTTTAATAGGTAATTTAAATTAGTACAAAAATGTAATCAAATATAAAAATAAAATACTGAATAGTCTTCCCTGTATGAATTAAATTAAATACTGATTCTTATTGAGTTATTCAGTCAATAGCAGTGATTCACATTAATCACACAGAGCAGCAGGCAGGTATATTAGGCTGCTGTCACTTTAAGATTAAACGCATGGATCATTATACTGCTGCACATCTGGTTTCCACCCAACAGTTTACTTTTATTTGAGACACAACCGGTGTTTACATGAATATTCTACACAATAGGCATTTTTGTAGGCATTCTCTTGTTATGCTTCCACTCCTCCGTGAGAGATGTGAGACCGTCTCGCATCTCGCGAGACCGTGCGTCTCACAGTTGACGTTCATTAACACTCACACCACCGGCCTCGCGCCGTTCTCTCACGTCGGCCATGTCCTGTTCGCCACAGTCTATTCATATAATGTGTATGTTACACTATAGCAGTCTTCTTTGCAACATCTCTTACCACTGCTCAATCTGTTTTCCTGAACCCAAAATACTTCCACACCCATGACGCTGACTGGAGTAACATTTCACTTTCATTGCCAGCTTGCTCTGACCGTTCCATCGCTCTTGAAAGTCAGACTTAACAATGTGTGTGAACATAGATAGACTGTGAAACGTAAGCAATGTGTGTTAAGTGGTGTGAAGTAGAAGACAATAATGAGGTTAGTGCCACCCGCAGCTTAGGAATAGGTTGTACGCATATGCCGGAGCTGATGCTGAACATAGACGTGGCAACATAAACACATGAATCAATACTCTTGCAGACACATTGATCCATCAAATCGTTGGCTGTATAATCAATGTATCGATACCAATCGATTAATATTTACGGGCTGACGCATTCACCACATTGAGTTCTTTTTCACTGCTTATTGTGCTTAAAGGGATAGTTCACTTTGAAATTATTTTTTGGTATGTTTTAGCTTACCTCAAAGGCATCCAAGATGGAGGTGTCTTTGATTCAATTTCGATATTTTTAGGTCAAACCGTTCTTGTCTATCAGTCATATAATGCAGGTCTATGATCACCACCTCAAAGAGCATGCACAGAGAAGTCCAAATTAAGCATGATTTAATGACTCGTAAATGTAAGTACACATTGATGGCCTAAGACACAAAACGAGCAGTTTGTGTGAGAAAACGAACAGTATTTATATCGTTTTTACCTCTTGTACCACCAAAGACACCTCCATCTTGGATGCCCTTGAGGTAAGCTAAAACATAAAAAAAAAAAATTTCAAAGTGAACTATCCCTTTAATAACAAAATTTGTGATAGAGGCAGCATTCTGTGCTCACTTTTTGGCAGTGTGCCAGTATGCACGAGTACCACACAGAGTTAATTTGTTTTCATAATATATTACGCTTATATATTCTGCCTCATTTCATCACTCTGAAGTGTCAATAGTGCTATATATTATAAAAAAGCGATATACACAATATAGCAATACCTCTAACAACAGACATTTTATGTTGTGATAACGATATCATCATACCACCCAGCCCAAGGTTGGGATTTGTATTTAGCTTTGTTTTTTCTTCTGTTTGGATGGACCCCTTCAAAGGCAACTGTTGATGGTCACATCAAGTTTCAGAGCTTTGCGGCATCATTACGTGCCATGTGTTTGTTGTCTCCACTCTCTGTGAAAAAAAAAGAGATTAAAGTATGTGCAGTGGCTGATCTTAGGGTCAATTTTTCTGTCATCCATCATGAAAGCCCTGCAGCCACCCGCAACACCGGATCTCTACAAGCCATCTCTGATAACGAATAGCAAGCCTGCTTATTGATCTGTGTCAAGAAGAAACTCCCGCTACCTGATTTCATATTGCTTGCAGGGTGGGGGAAAGAATAAACCGATCTTAGATTTACAAATGTCTACACTGGAGAAAATGTGGGGTCAAAAGCAATATGCCTGTGCATCTTTCATTCCACATTCAAAGGCTTCTTTATGTCCAAATTTGGGCATTTTATTATAATAAGTATCGGCATATTGGCTTCACATGTTTGTACTCAGAGTTCAGCAGTGTGAGCAGCAAATAATTGAGTGTGCGCTGAAGTAATTTGTTTGCATATTAAGTTAGGAATCTCAATGAGAAGATTGTCTTTGTGGCCTTTTCGTCCTAATCCTGTGAAGAGATTTGCTTACCTTGTGAGGCAGATCAATTCTGTCAAATGTTTCAAAAGGATAACTTTGTCGCATTCAGGCTCATTACAATGCAAAAAGTGTTGGTGAAACTACTTTGAAACTTTGCTACAAGCTAATTATATTGCAAAGAAGTTAATACAGTATGGGGTTTCTTTTGATTAAAGTATCTAAAATACTACTACTAAAAAGCTATTTAATGGAGCAGTATCTTTAAAAAAAATATTTATTAGTATAATATTGTACAATCAGATAATCATTTTTTTCGTTCATTCATTCATGTATTTATTTTTATTAATTTTTATCATGTATATGTATTTATTTTGAATGATGCATTTTTTATTTAATTATTAAAAAATTATTATCTCAAATATGGTGACTCAAATAAGATACCATTGCTGAATGAATTATCATTGAAATTAGAAAACCATTAACAATTTACATTTACTCGTGTAAATACATAAGCATAACTGTGAATTTTATTTGTGGTATTTAGTTTCACCATTGGTGTCTGTTTTAATGTGGTTATTAATTTATATAACTGAAATCTAGCTCAAAGACAAATTAATGGTGGGGGTTAGACTTGCAATCTTGAAATTGGTATCTATAAGTAGTAGCACAAATAAATACAATAGAATAAAGATACAAATAATTCCTTTTCAGTCACATTCAAAGGAACTGGAACTGTTGGAACTGACCGACGAGTTGGTTATTGCTTTGAGAGACCAATCTACTTTGAGTGTAACTAAACAAGCCAATGAGCATTGGCATGCAAGATGTTCATCTGATTCACCGTCCCGCAGCGCGGGTATAAATACAGAAGCAGATGCATCACATATTTGCCTTTCGCTTCGGAACCGAGCCGTTCTGCTCTGCAAATCTTTTGTAAGTGTGTTCTACGAGAGCCATTGTTCTTCAGGGAAGAATACATCACACGAGGTGGAGTCCCTTCACCTATTCCCCGATCTAGTTCCTCTTCTGTTAGCTACCAAAAAAGGGCTACTTCGGTAAGGGCTACTCTTTGGGCCCTTCACTCCTGTAGCATACCGCAAGCCATGGGAGGAGTCGTGGTCCTTCTCATGGGGCACCAGTCATTTTCTTTGGGACAGTTGTCAATCACTGCATCGAAGGGTAAGCTTGAGTCCTCCGGGGATGAAGTTTCGACTATGTTGCCTCCTTCAGGGACAGTAGTGTTG